TTGGCATTCAAAATCCCACCGCTGGCACCAAAAATTGTTGCGTGCATACGGGTTCGTTACGAAATTAATACACAAATCTGATGAAAAATGGACAAAATTTTATTATTATCACAATAAAAATGATTAAATGTCTTCAAATAATCGTGCAGTATCACAATATACAACAGTAGTTATCTTCTAACTACTCAAACATTCAATAGAACTTAATTCAAAACAGCTAATGAAAGCTAATCCGCAAATTCGCTACAATCAACAAGAGCAGTTTTCTAAACAACAACAAAATAATTAACTACTACAAACTGAGAGGTTTTCCTCCTTTTATAAGATTTTTAAATCACGTGCGAGAATTTTCTGGTACTTTCTTGAAATCAAAAAGACATATTTATTTATTTAATGTTAAATGGACGTGCTCTTGTATTTTTAATTTTCCGGCTTAGCTTTCTTCTTTTAATATTCGTCATACGCTGCTCTGCATGGGAAATAAAACCATTTAATTTATAATTGAACTAACATTAGCTTTTTAAATACCAAATTCGTAACAATATAATAAATCTGACCTTTGAATTATACATTTAAACTTTATTTCATAACATAACTCAGTTGTGAGTAAAAAAATATCCCTGACTTATCTAGAAAGTAATTTAAATTGAAGCACAAGCTGAAAGAGAAATTATTAATCAAGTTATCAAATTTATTTCTACCAATTAAAATAAAAAATGTTGTTATCGTAAAAGTTGAATTAAAAAATAATTCTCTGTGTGTATTATTAAAATGTAAATAAATATTAGCACTAGAAAAGAAATTTTTTAAAAAAAGTGAAGAAAATTGTAATATGATCTAAAAATTTCAAAATATTTTTGTGGTGCTTGCAAAAATAAAAACACCATTTTTTTAAAGAAAGTTAAATATTTATACTGCTTATTTTACTTTTAAATTTGCTTTTTGTTATTAAAAATAAATTTAGAATCTTTAAATATTGACAGAACTTCTTTGTGATAGAAATAGATAGGTCATAAAAATGATCATCCAGATTCATTTTGCTAATGTATACAAGTACTGTAATACTTAGTTGTTTCATATTTTTTTAATCTTCTGTTTTATGTTAGGACATGATAATGCAACCATGTTCTAAAGCTTTTCTTCCCTTTTTTTTAATTCTTTAAATTCAATTATTTATTTATTTAGTTAGTTTTCAGTGTCGCTATGAGAGTATCTGAGAAATATGAGTAAATTTTATACATTAGTGACAAATTATAAAAAAGTAGGGATTTTTTCCATCACATGCTAAACTATCTTCTGTAGAAAGATATGTATCCGAACTTGATGCTTCCAATGTGAAGACATATTTTTGTCATCAACTCATATCAGTTGTGGTAAAATTTTTTAAGCTTAAGAAATATATCTTTAGGTTAACTATTTCATTACACAAAATACAAAACAAAATGACACATTTTAAAAACTGCTGTGAAGCACAATATACTGAACACTTCTTAGCAAAAGCAATGTAATTATTTTAAAATGTCTTCTTTTGTATTTTTTATGGTAAGAGATTTTCCCCTATATTTATCTGAAAATATTCAGAATTCTCAGAATGTGTATCAGAGTATCTCACTAAAATTAATTTTACGCTTTTCTTCTCTGATTCCCCCCCCCAAAAAAAAAAGTTTTGGCTTTTTACTGTTACAAAATTGGTAGGGATATATATATATTTTTTTAGAAGTAAGAGGAACATTTAAAAGCTTATGCTAAAAAATTCATTTGACACTATAGTTAGTTCTTTAGCAAAAATGTAAAATCATTCAACATCTAGACACAATAATATAGTAAAAGCAATCTCTTAAAAACTAAAGGTTAAAATTACAAGTCAAAATGACTTCAAAATCAAAAAGGGTTAGAAAAAATTAATAAATTTTAACGCACAAAGTATTATAAAAGGACTTGTGAAAAATTAAACAAATTACAAAAATACATCATATGTACAAAAAATTGCACCAAATGGTAAATACACCCAAATCGCAACGCCAAGAATAGCAAGAGATTGGACCACATGTTTTCTATTGGCGAAAGATCCGGAGAGTGAACCGCCAGGGAAGCAATTCAATCTGGCAGTTGGCGAAGAACACTTGGACAATGCACTATCCTGTTGAAATATGGCAGTGGGCAAGTTCTGAAGGTAAGGAATAACAACAGGCTCCAACACCTCGGAGATGTAGTGCTGGCTGTTTAAAGTACCGGCAATGCATATTAGAGAAGTGTGAGAGTGATATCCAATACCACTCCATACCATAATACTCAGTGCAGGACCAGTGTGGCGGTGCATAACGCAGCTGTTCAGCATCTTCTCTCCACGGTGTCTCCAGACTCGAATCCGACCATCGTGGTGTTGCAGACAGAAGTGTGACACATCAGTAAAGACAATTTCATTCCATTCTGCCATCCACATCCTTCTTTCATCGCACCATTGGCGGCGGAGGCGTCTGTGGTTCTGCGTCAAGGGTAGACAAAACAATAGACGTCTTGCGGACAGACTACTATGCTGTAAACAACGTCGAATGGTACGCGCAGACACTGGATGATGTGTTACAGACTGAATGTACTGTGCTATGGTTTGTGATGTGACTGAGTGATTCGTCACTGTCATGTACACAATGTTCCTGTCATCACGTGAAGTGGTGCACTGAGATGGATGCGATCGAACACGTCGGTCAATCGTACCCTTCTGCATCCAACAGTCACTCCACATTACAGTTGTTTGGTTTTGTCCAACACGACTACCGATTTCTGTGAAAAATAATCCACGCTCTCGGTAGGCCACCATCCTTCCTCTGTCAAACTTGGATACTAGATCAAACGATGATCACTGTTTACTACGAGTCGTAATTGATTGTTTTTTCGAAAAAACCACAAGAAAAACACAATTGCCGAATTTGAAATTGTTGAAAACTCCAAGCCTTAAATAGCACTTTGAAGTGGCACCACAGAAGCACGTGAAGTGCGTTTGCATTGAAATTCTAATCATTTGCGTATGTTATTTGCATGCTTCCTTCATGGTGTTGCCTTTATGGTGGCCAGCAGTGTTGCTCAACTCGACGTTTGCGTCGGATTCATCAAGGGAAAAGCAGCTCAAAACTCGAATCAAGTTAATACCTATAGTGCGTTTAATCAAACGATAATAGTTGAGACTATAAATGCAATTTCACTATTAGAAAATTCCAACTTAACGATCTAAAAAAGTTTGGTATGTCTCAATCGTATGGTTCTTTTCCCGACGAACCATAATTTAAATTGAAAATGTAAAACTTGCTATTAAACAAGAAAAAGCTACACAAATAAGCTCAGTTATGCAAAGGTACAATAAAAGTAAAATAGCTAGAAGGCTATTGACGAGCTGTAATTTAAATTGTAAATACAAAACGTACTATAAACAAACAAACAAAAAAAAAAAAAAATAATAATAATAAATAAATAAATACCAAAGCTTAGTTAGGCAAATGTACATTAAAATAAATAGCTTAAAAAGCTATTAGTCTAAAAATTATACAATTTTAAAGGATAACCCTCTAATTAGAAAATTGTAAACTTTTTAAGGAGAAGAACGAAAAGAGACATAATAAAAACGTACCAAAATGGGTCTTGCAAAGACCAAAGAATAAATCAAAATAACGACGAAATATACTTACGCCTGGTTTGCAAAATATAAAATGATCAAAATAGCTGCACAGGGTTGCCGTAAAATGCAGCTTTCAAGAGGAATGGTACCAGATAAGCAAAGTAGTGAAATTTCTCCAATATGGTGAAGCTTCATAGAAGGGGGAAACTGACAAAAAAAAAAAAAAGGCAAAAGCCAATGGTAAGCAACGGCCAAAGGGGGGGGGGAAACTTGTCTTTTTGGTTGGGGGTGTCAGGAGGTAAATGATGTAAGCTATTTTTACCAAGATGACATCTTGTTCAGAATGTGAAGACAGTGAAGTTGAAAAACAAAATGGCTAAACTCTAATAAAGTGCTAATCTAGCCAAAAGTAGTTGAAATTGGAAAAATTAGCAATTTTCCAATAATAAAAAGTCATAATTCTTCGCACTAGAGGGTGGCCAACCGTCTTTTGAAATGAAAATAGCCCTTAAAAATAATAATAAAATAGGTATGGCCAGGAAACGGTGATATTAATCACTTGCGCTAAAAAGACATGCCACACACGTCGAGATGCTTTTGTCTCAAACCGCGAGCAACTTGAACACCATGTCGATAAGCATTTATCGCAAAAATGAAAATAACGTGGTGCTCACGTTGCCCAACAATGAGATTGTTTATTTCTCGAGTTACAACTCTGGATTGCACTCGCAGATGCGGAGCGGCGTAAATGAGACACTTTACCGCTTGTTATATTGTAGCGCACGGCACTGCAACCGTGAAGTTAGCGCAAGTGGTTAAATAATAAGTTTAATATTTTAACTGAGAGTCTGTGCCAATTAAGAGAAAAATGGAATTAATACAACTCAATAAGTCAAGAGACATAGGGCTATATTTATTGACAAGGGAAAAAAAAGATACTAATTAAATGTTCTGTATAAAAATTCGTATGTGTTACATATGTCCTAATAGTCAATTAATAATAAATGGTGATTCATATGTGACACACCTAGCTCTGAGATACAGTCTGAGATACATATGTAACATGCCCATCCTGAAAGTGTTAACACTACTTTCCTGTGTACCCTATTATCTGAATCCAGAATAAAATATAATGGTTATTGTAAAATTTTGTTGCAAGATATGGATTGGAAAAATATTTGCATACAATGCTATTTTGATAAATTGCATTTGCTGTTTATATTAGTTTGTATTAAAAAAGGGGAATACAAAAAAAGTTTAAAATTTATTTTTGAGTTTTAATTTTATTCAACAGTAAAGGTTCAGAGGAGGGTGGGAGTAATTTGTTTGGTATTTTGTATACTTTTCTCAGGCTTAGAATTTTAATTACGTTTATGTGGCTATGTTTCAGATTTTAGAAGCTGCTGATAAAATACAAGCTTTTGATATGAAGAAGCATGCACTGAATATGATAGTTCATCATTTTTCTAAGGTTCGTACATTATACAAATTAATCCATTTATATTTTTTAAACTAAAATACTTCCCATTTTTCTGTTACAAGCATTTTCTTATTTTAGGTTGCAAGGCTTCCTCGCTTTCGTTTGCTCAGCAGGCCTCTCCTTTTGGATATATTGGATTCTTTGGCTGATGAAATGAGTGATTCTAAACTCTGTCAAGATATGTCATCTATAAGTTTATGTGCTGATGGAGTGTAAAAATTAATAGGTTTCAAAAGAATAATAATTGGTGATATTATGAATAATAAATATTAAAAATATAGACAAATGAGTAAGTTTTATGCAATATGAAAATATTTGAATGTAGATCTGAAGGCTAAATACATTATTTTCTATTATAAATATTTTATCTCTTTAATGCATTAATTATATGCATTTTTAGCACCCTTTTTTTTTTCCTTGTTTTCAATTTATAAAGTGAAAAGGAGAAATTTTCAAGCACACCTTTTAAATAATTTTTTTCCTTTTGCTTATAATAAAAATTTAAAATGAAATATATATTTTTAATTGCATATTCGTGTGGCAGTTCTTTTGGTTGTGAATTTTATTTGAAATATAAACTTCCCTTTCTAGAGTTCCTTTGCATTTTATGCATAACAGGATATTTATTAATTTTTTACTAGGATAATTAAATTGTCTGGTAATTCTCTAAAAAATTATAATACTCAATTTTTTGTATACCTTGCATATTCCTTTGAAAATAAATTTTTTTTTAAATTTAAACAATTAAAATTAAACATTCTTTTTTGAGCAGAATAGCCTGAAAAATTTCTCCTGAGAATATCTTCTTAAAAAATTAATCCTCTTCTATTCATTTTTATACCATTATCTTTTTAAAGATTGTTATTATTTGAATTTCTATAACTGACTATTAATCTTTCATTTTAGTGTAAATTTAATTTATTCATATTGTTTATACTATTTAAGAGAGAAAGCAAAGTATGCCTTCATTAATCACTTTTCATTTTGCTCTTAATTTTTATTTCACATTAGTGAAATGTGTTTAAATTTTGTCAAATTTTTCATTCAGTTGTCATTGTAGTTTATGTTTTGCACAAAAAAACTTTTTCATATTCTGAGTAAGATATTTAAAAAAAAAATAATTACATCTCATATTTAAATTTGTGTATATTTCTTTTTGTTTCATTTTATCTTCATCTACTGTAGTTTATGAAGTGTAAGAATATATAAGGAGCCAAATATTGTACCAAATATTACAATTTGTAGTACCAAATATTATAGCAAGACCTTTTCCGTATTATCACCGTTTCCGTTCTTTTCCGTAAGGGGGGTTCTTCACATTATTTCATCATTGGTCAAGGATGTTTAAAAAGCCTATTGTAAGGTATAAAATAAATTTATAAAAATTTAAAAATTATGGTATGTCATAAATTGCATAGCATTGATAAATCAGCTGCATTTAGTGGAAGGTCTGAATACCACACTAACCAATTATTTGCCAAATATAACGGTTCCTAAATTATGCTACTGGAAAATAAAACTCTAACCAGATAAATAGAATGCAGAATTTAACCTTGCATTTTGAAATATAAGTTTGTAGTCACGTGAGTAATTTTCTGAAATCACAAAAAGTATATTTTATTTTACTTAAAATTACATAGTTAAAATAATTTTATTTTAAAATATTTTAAAGACAACAGAAGTGTAATATAAAACATATATTCCTCAAATTTGATTTAATTTGGAAAAATATGTTTTCATGCTAAGTGTAAAAATATTTGTTACTTACTGTTTACTATTTATATTTGTTAACTGCATATTAGATTTGTAAAGTTATCAAATTTTATCAAATATCTGTTCTATGTGAATTAATGGTTATTCATGTGATTACTTATTGGTGCTGTTGGATAAAATATTGTATTGGTGAGTAGCAAAATGGAGTTATGTCTTTCATTCTATAATTTTTAAGCAAAGCTATGAATTTTTATGTACCCTTATATATTTGAATGAAAATATATTGTAATATGTGTATATATTATCTTCTGTATATTTGTAGTTATTAATTAGTACTGCATTTAAAAATTGTATTTGAAAATATATTTAAAATGTAATTGAAAGCTTATTTTTTAATGAAAATTAAATTTTTTTCTTTAGCAGTTGTCCTATTTTTTTGGGAGGGATATTTTTTATGTTAATTGTTATACATTAACAATAAAATGCATCTTCTCAACAGTTGGGTATATATTTATCCATTGATTATGATTGAATATGATTTTAATGGTAAAAGGTGATTATTAATGAATATGATTTTAATAGTAAATATGTGTAACTATTTGAATCATAAAAAAAAGAATTGAACCATATATTTACCAGAAAGTTGAAGTAATATATTAATAGTTCTTTTTAAAATATGTCTTTTTTTTATGGTTCAAGGTGCAGGAAGAAGAAAGATGTAACATACCCCCCCCCCATTTGCATATAGAACAAGTTATTGACTAGTTTGTCTTTAAGATCTGTCTGACTTGTTTATACACTGTGTCCATAAAAGTTCTTATGTAGCTTTTACCTTTGCAACTCTTAATCATAGACAGATACTTTCCAAAACCGTTTTAAATCAGGGGTATTCAACCTTTTTATACCTTTCGCCCACTCTGTAGACAGTAAAATTTTTATTCCACCCACTCGTTCACAATAACTTAATATAGTGCAACTACAAAGATCCATTGATTCAAGATTGGTTTAGTAAAGTGGAGGTTTAGTAAAAAATATATATTTACATTTCTACATTTATTTATACTATAATTTACAATATTAAACTTTTAATAGACAAAAAATTCATTAACAAACAACAAAGCTGTATAAATATATGGAAACAGGAGAACATTGTGCGAAGGGGAATGGTCAAGTAGAGAACTAATCTTTGAAAGATGTGTATATATCTATACATAAATGCATGTTTCAATCTTCCTTGATCATTATCAGATAACGTAGGTGACCAGCAGTTGTGAAAATAAGGGCTGTATAAGGATTTTGTATATATGTGTTGAATGTGTTTTATCATGACAAAACAGAACCTGAATATTAAACCTCCTTCTGCAAACAACACCATTCATATAGAGACATATAGCTTAACATTTAAAAAGCCTAAGGAGCTGCCTAAGGATCTACAAAGCGAAACAATGTTTCGGTGTCCATTGAACAAAAAGTGGAATTGCTGCAAAAAATAGATAGAGGCATATCCATCTCAAAATTATGTGAGGAGTATGGCATTAGAAAGTCAACTGAATATGATATAAGAAAAAAGGAATATTTTGAATTGTTTGTGGAAGCAACTTAAACAACTTACATTGAAAGAAATGTTTAATAAAGTAAACAAATAAATATTAAGCTGCCTTTTTTTGGGGGGGGTAAATTTTGATACCCTTTAGATCATAATTGCTCTTTATTTCATAAATTACAATCTCATATTTTTAATTGTATAATTTCTGCTTGCCATCTTACCAGATTTAAATTGATGATCCGGAAAAACCCCTAATCCAGAATCGCCAAAGTCCCGACGAGTCCGGATTAAGGACTTTGTACTGTACAAAACATTCATTATTGCCAAGAAATTCAGATTAATGTTACTCAAAAATTTTATAGATGAAATCCCTTTCTGAAACTTCTTTCTCAAATGTCTCTTTTTCTTCCAAATAAAGAGTTTCAATGTTTGTATTAATGCCACACAATCAGACTTTCTGATTATGAATGTTGTTTATGGAGTTCTCATGTTACATTGAATATTCATGTTGTTCAATTCTAATTTTAGCATTTTTCTATACTGTTTGACAAAAAACATTTTAATTAATAGAAAGCAAAATTTTAAATAGTATATAACAATAAATTAATTTATTGTGAATACTGTACACCAGTCATTCATACGAACATATGCCAATTTAGATTTTCTGCAGCTTTCTCCTTTCATGATTAGGTTAAGTTATGCTATTTGTATATGGCAATGCACGTGGCAGTTATATGCCTGAGGAGAGTGATGCCGTCATGGAGGATTTTAAAAGGGAAACTTGCTCTCATTCACATTACGCATTACACATGGGGAAACTAACAATGCAGTCAGCCCACTCTTCTGTGTTCAAACTCTGGTCGACATACCAATATCCAGCAATCTTAACCACTCGGCCATTGGTGAGGCCTTTATTAGTAGATATTGTTAATGTTCATGATATTTCTATTATATTATGGTTTAACAACTATTTTTTTTCCCCATCATTGGTATGTCTACACTTTTTTAATTTTATTTTTTTTTTATAAAATACTATGCATCTTGGTATCATAACTTTCTCCCCCTTTTCCTTTCTTATTCTTTTTAGTTCAAAGGGGCAATTCGCCCTGAAGGACTATTAATTTCATTTTGGCATTTTGCATCGAAAACTTTAAAAGGCTGTCTCACTTTTTAAATCGTTGCCACCATATATTGTGGCCCTGTCTTATATTTAAAGAAATTAAATAATGAAGAAGCTGCATAAATGTATGTAGGTTTCTTGCATTGAGATAAAACAATGGTACCTACAGCCATCCTAATTTGGATAACGTAATCTTCCTTAGAATATGGGCATGTGGAAGCCCTAATTTGAATTTGAAATTTGTTTTATTATCAATTTCAGATTTTGTAACACTTCAACGAATTTTTGATTAAAAAACAACAATTTCAAAGTGAGCAATGGCAACACTGTTCGAAAAAAACATTTTTATCTCCAGCACACAAGACATAGTATCAGAAATTATAAAGATATGCTCATTTTAAAATTAATTTGTGTTATTGCTGTTGAACTGAATTTTATAGTTTGAGTGCATAGAACATGATATTTAATAAATAAAGGTAACACACAAATGTTAAAAAAAAAAAAAAAAACACCCCTTTGGATGTAATTTAAAATCTGAAACCATTCTTTTTTTTTTTTTTTTTTTTTTTTACCGTAAGGGGTGCTATTAGTCGTGATCCCCACTTTTGTGTCCATATCACTTTTCAAATAAAATGATGTTACTGGATACTACCAAAAATGTTATTGCCATGTACTGTTTTTAAAGAAATAATATTGTGAACATAAAAAATGTGCAGCAACACAAATAAAAAGATATTGCCGCCGAATGTTATTGCCTTATTATTTTTAAAGTAATTTAAAAAGGTCGAGATCAAAATCTAATAAAGCTGTAAGAATATACTTAAAAAAATGTCAAAACTTATTGGGAGTTCCAGAGGTAACTGTTTTTAAATATTTTGTGATTTTGCTTTTGAATTTTGTGTGGCATAAGAGCAAATAAAGAGATGGTTAATAAAGTTAAAAATACAAAAAGTTGATAATAAAAAAAAATGTGTGGATTATTATGGATGATAATATTTTATGTTTGGAATGTTACGAGTCCTATTCATTCCGGTGAAATCTATGGGCACATAAAATTAAGTGCCAGTCTTTGAAGAAAAATTAGCTCCTACTTAATTGTTAAAAAATTTGCGTAAAACAAAACCTGTTCAGTACACATGAACTCACAGAACATGGCAAAAAAACTATACACATGAATTCATTGAACATGGTAATAGAGTTGCAACATAAAGAAGTGCTCAATATGTGATTTTAGTTCTGTTTTCTAAATTAGACAACATTATTGAGATTAGACAACATAGATTAATTATCTAGATTTTTGTTAATTACTGAATACACTAATTTGTAACCAAATAATTTCTCCCTTATATTATGAAATTCTTTTGAAGAGGGAAATTCGCTACTGGGGACAACTACAGGTTTAGATGCATTTTTTTTTCATGCCTATATTTTAATAGTATCAAAATAACTTAAAATAATCAATAATGCTTTTATAACACATTAAATGTTTTGTATTAACTTTTTTCTTTATATATTACTGTGTAACCAAATTTTAAATATTTCAGGGCATCAGTGTTTACTAATTGAAAATATATTATTCTGTTACAATATTTCAACAAATTGCAGCAATATTTTTCTTCATTTGTTGCATATATTTGGAATGAATTCATAACTATAATAATGTAATATGCAGTAGCGTGCCATGATTTTTACCGAAGAGGACTAGAGAGAAAGGGAAAATTTTATAATCCTAATTAGATGATCGCATGGATGGTAGTGTGAGCATCTTACAGAGAGGAATTTTTGTTTTAATATTAATTTATGTTCTTAGAAATACTGGTCACTTTCAAAAGTGGTCATCTTAGAGAAATAGTCATCACAATGAGGTTTATTGTATTTTGAATACAAAGACTAATGATATACAGTCAAAAGTCGTTAATCCGGACTCGTTGGGACTTCGGCGATTCGGGATTATCGATTTTTCCGGATTATAGATCATCAGTTTAAATCTGGTAAAATGGCATGCAGAAATTCTAAAATTAAAAATATGAAACCGTAATTTACGAAATAAAGAACAATTATGATCTAAAGGGTATCAAAATTTACAAAAAAAAAAAAAAAAAAAAAAAGAAAAGCTTAATATTTATTTGTTTACTTTATTTAATATTTCTTTCAATGTAAGTTGTTTTAAGTTGCTTCGTTTTTTATGTGATAATACATTCTCTTTAATTCCATAAACAGACATAATTTCTTGTTCAGTTACAAAGTGCCGCTGTTCAAGTCCTATAATTGCTGTG